AACTCTACTGCCAGTCCCAATCTACTGCTTAAACATCCGATCCTGTACAGAACAATAAGAAGAAAAGATAACATCAAAACTAGAGGCATCAAGCTGACTGATAGATAATAAACTGACAGATAATTGAGGAACATAAAGGACAGATGGAATAGAGACAACAGATATAGCAGACGGTAAGACAGACCCAACAGATGTAACAGACATACCAGACCCATTAGCAGCATTAACAGTAATAGGAAAGGGAGAAGGAGTACAATTTTGAATTAAGGAGAGATGGGGAGTCATATGATGAGAGGCACCAGAGTCAAAAATCCAGACAGACAAAGAAATACTTGAAAAAGACCTAAACAAACCGGAATGAAGAGAGAAAACAATGGAGGCAAATGGAGATGAGGTAGACAGTATATGCTAAAACTGACTAATCTGATAACTCAAGGAAGCCAAGTCAGGATTAAGAGCCGGAGCAGATGCAGTATAAGTGATGGGAGCCTGAAAATTATTCGGAGAAGAAGGGCAAAATTGGGTTCGAAACTACTGAGAAGACGAGCCAGACAGACATCCCTTCTTGGGGCAGTGGTACTTCCAATTACCCCTCTGATGGCAGCTAGAGACATCATAATAACCAGAAAAGTGTAATAAACAGACAAGGATGGGGCTTTAGTGCAATAAGCCTAAAATAGGGTTTAAATGGAAATACCCAAGTCGAATTAGAGACTGAAGCTAAGAATCCAAGTCGAATCAGAGAGAGAGAGAGAGAGAGAGAGAGGCTGAAACTAAGAATCTAAAGCCGAAATCAAGGAAGAGAGGCCTCTGGAGAGAGAGAGAGAGAGAGTGAGACCTTCGCGAGAAGCTGTGAACACGAACGCGAGTCTGGAGAGAGAAAAGTAGCGGCTCCAATGGTGACAAACCAGATGAACCAGAGAGGGCTGATGGTGACGAACAGACAAATCAGAAAAGTCACGACTTAGGGTTGAATTTGGTCACAGAAGAACCAGAGAGAAGTCAAGACAGATGACCCTTCGACCAGTGAAGACGAACCACAACGATGACAAGCGAATCAGCTAGGGCTGAGGTAGAGTGGCACTAGGGTTTCAAACCTAGCTCTGATACCATGTAAGATTTCTGAAAGCTTTTCTGTATATATAATTGTCAATGCTTACAAAGTATTCATCAGTTTATATAGCCCTGAATCTATGGCTGAACAAGGAATGATTGGAAAAAGAAATACATACGCCTAATTATCGCCTAATTCCTAATATACATCACTATGCCATATATACAATACATTCTCACAATTCATTTTAGATGGAGGCATTGAGTCACATGATTGACAAGTGCAAGAATTTACGGAGGTTTTAATGTGAATCAAGTATATGGTATACACCATTATTACTTAAAAAGTGGGGCAAATGCAACAAACTGGGCTGTCTTAGTTGTAACTTGAATGCTTTTGTACTTTGAGGTAGTTTGTAGTCAACATAGGGAAACTAGAGCTTATTCCAATTGAAGAGGTGCATTAAATTCACTTGCAACCATCCTCAAGTGCAGAGTTGGGTGCCTTACATCATCATATGTAGGCTTGCCTTTAGGTTCTTCTTTCCAAGCTCAGTTAGTTTGGGATCCAATTGTTGAGAGAGATTGTAGGAGAGGTTGGTAGGGTGGAAGCAGTGTTATCAGAGGCGTGACTAAGCGCTCGCCTTAGCGCTAAGTGAGGCAAGGCGATGATGTAACGCTTCATACTCACTGAAGCGAGGCGAAATGGTGAGGCGAAGTCGAAGCGCATGAAACGAGGTTTAGGTGACGAAGCGAGAGGTGATTCGAAGCGATGCTTCACCAATTTTGGTCTGATTTCAGTTCGAAAGATCTGGGCCCTTCATTTGGATGACTTTTGTGTTATTTGTGGACATGCGATGCACTTGATAATTGCTTTCTACTACATATGAAGTCGAAACCCTAAGTCGACTTCCTCTCAGTCGACATTTGCTTCGAACGACTGACTGACTACCTGCGGCTGCTTCTTCCTTCTTCGGACATCGTTTCAGTCGATTATCAAAGGTGAGTACCTCCCTTTCTTCTTCCTTTCTTCTTCTTCGTCTTCTTTTCTTCTTTTCTTCTTCTTCCTTTCGTCTCTTCTTCCTTTCTTCATCTTTTTTTTTTTTCGACTCTAATTTGAAAAATTATCCTCTGTTTCTATAGGCTGACTTTTTTTTGAAAAAAAAAATTTTAATTTTTTTTTTTACTCTGTTGCTTTGAAAAATTATACTCTCTTCTTCCTTCCTTTCTTTCTCTCTCTCTCTCTCTCTCTCTCTCTCCTGGTTCTATTAATTATTTTGTTAACTCTACTCTGTTAATTTTCTATTAATTATTTTGTTAACTCTATTCTGTTAATTTTTTTCTCTCCTTGTCTTCTTTCTTTTTTTTTTAATTATTTTTGTGTTATTTTACAATTATTTTTCTGTGTTAATTATATATTTATTTTGCTAAAAAAATTTCAATTAATTTTGCTGAAAATTTTCAATTATTTATTGAGAAAATTTCAATTATTTTGCTGAAAATTTTCAATCATTTAATGAAAAATTTTCAATTAATTTTGCTGAAAATTTTTAATTATTTTGCTGAAAAATTTCAATTATTTAATGAAAAATTTTCAATTAATTTTGCTGAAAAATTTCAATTATTTACTGGAAAAATTTCAATTATTTTGTTGCTAAAAATATGTTGCTTATGGATATTTAGTATTTGGAATGATAAATGCATGATGGTTCTTGAAAATATTTATATTTTTGTCTATACTATTTATTTTAAAAAAATATTGTTTGTGGTCGCCTCGCCTCGTCGCCTCGCGCTTAGGCATTGGGAGACCATGTCGCCTCAGTTCGCTTTTCGCCTTAAAAAACACCGGGTGGAAGAGGCAATAACTTTTGAAAGAAAGAAGACTCACTGTCATTAAGAGCATGGTTATTGGAGAGGCAATAACTTTTGAAAGAAAGAAGACTCACTGTCATTAAGAGCATGGTTATTGGAGTCGTACGATTCACAATTTGATAAAAGTTTCAAACAACTTGATTTGAATCATGCTCTTGAATTGAAAATTGTAGTAAATTGTGTGATTCAATTCTAATTATTTTTTTTTTTTTACCTAAACGGTAGATGGAAGTGTTAGGGGACGGGGTAGGCCTAGATTAACGTTGACTCGCGTTATAAATAGAGATATGAATCTACTTAATTTGACTAATGAAATGGCCTTTGATAGGGCCGCGTGGAGAAGAAGGATTCATGTAGCCGACCCCATTTGATGGGACTTAAGGCTTCGTTTGGTTTGGTTTGGTATTAATTAAAGGGAATCTTACCATTCACGATTTGATACAATTAGTAATTTACTACTTCAGAAAAATGATTTATAATTTGATTCACAATTTGACAAATGATTAGAAAATACTTTAATGAGTTTGCCTACATATTTTATGTGCTAATTCACCATTTCTTCCTCAATCATTAAGAGATTGGAAAAGCCAACATGCATACAGTCGTTTCCCACCCCCCCACCGCATCCCACTCCAAGAGGATGTGGGGGGGTAAACTAATGTGAAGTATATGAGTGAGGGAGGGTGTGAAGCGAAGTTCCACATTGCCTCAATAGGGTATGAAGTATATATGCACGAGGGCACCCTCACGTCAACAACTAACTTTTGGGGATGAAATCTACCCAAGACCATGTAAACAATCAATATCGTATACAACAAGCCTTGGAAAGGATTAGGAAGGGATGGGATGAGTTTGTGAGGAATACTAGTACGCGGTGGGGGATGTGAGGAGATTGAAATTTTGGTCTCATTTATGGTGTTTGGGGGGAGGGTAAAGGTGTTTTCTCTATTAATTCCAAGTGGCAGCAGATAGCCATGATTAAGTTATGGATCATTTTTCCAAGACGAGGGCTCAAATTTTCTGGGATATCTTACTGTTCAGGGAGATTCATGAGTGGGAGGTGGCAAAATTGATGGACCTAATAGACAAATAGACAAATTGTGCAGGATGTCAAAGGGAGGACTCATTGAGATAGAATATGACTAGATCAGAGTGCTTTTAGGAAAAATATTTTTATCAGCCATTGGTTGGTTGCACGGTGGAGCTCACAGTAAGATTGTTTTTTTTACCGAGGCAATTTGAACCGAAAAGGATAAATTCTTGTGAATTGGTGTTGTATGTGCAAGCATGAGGGAGAATTGGTGAATCACCTGGTTATTCACTGCCAAGTTGCAAAAGCTTTTTGGACTTCAGTTCTTTCCTATAGTTGTGGATTGAGTTTTCTCTAATGGGTTTGCAAAGCTCCTGCACAAATGACGGGCTAGGGAGGGATGATGAGAAAGGAGTTGTTTTTATTCCCTTATGTATTAGGAGAGCAGAAACAAAGGTCTTTAGGTGGCATTGAATTTCCTTTGTATGGGATTAAGAGTACATTAGTAAGTTTTTTGTACAGTCGGGAGTAAGTGTTACCAACCCTTCTCTTGACTAATTCTTAGATTTTGTAGAGTTTTTTTATACACAAGGGAGTGTACAGAAATTTTGCCTTTTTTTTTGTGTATACGGGTGGTATTCCCCTAATGCCTTAATTAATGAGATTTTGTTATTCATAAAAAGAAAAAAAGAGTGCAGCAATGGAAGACATGCATGAAAGGGTTATGTACGGCTATAATTGAGTGCATTAAGAAATATTAGAATCAGGAACAATGTATGTCAATCCATATCAATTAATTTGTCGAATACTCATACAAATTTTCAAAGCTCTGACCACAAAAAGTAAAGTTGGTCTAGCATGTGATGTGATGCACAAAGACAATGATGAGTGTATGCTTCAGGCTGAAGTCAGTACCAGAGCATGGGAAAAAGTTCAAAAAATGTGCACTGAAGTTGAGAGAACAGAATGTGACTTTGATGTATAGTTGTGTGTGATACATTCTATTGTCAATTTCCATTTCTAAACAATGGTAAAATATCCGTACCTGAAACGAACTCGTCTAAGTTCATTCCGACCCCCTGGCAAGGAGGAAAGAGTTACATACACGCCTGGTTCATCTTGTACCACCCGCTCTGCCTTCTCATTTTGAGCCTTTGTTCCATTAGATAAGAATGGATCAGATGAATTGATATTGGACTCACTTCTAGGAGAGATTACACTCATCATATTGTGCATGTTAGAGGGTGAGTTTGGATCACCCAAAGCTTGACTAGCAACATAATCTAATTTATTGGTGGCAATATGCCGTTCTGGCAGCATTTCAACCATCTCCATCAACTGTAAGAAAATTGGACATTCCATAGTATTAGAACATTAACTACATAATAGCTATCAACAGAATACCCAACTCCACAGAATATACATTAAAAAGTAAAAAATAAAAACTGAAAACATAGAGGGGACTGGGAATGGATACATCCTCTTTGTTTCTTTTTAACTTATCAGTGCATAATCTGCAAGATTTCTTTTTTTCTGTCACATCAAGATATTATTGACGGGATATATAACATAATTTATATTGGAAAATTCATAATTTTCTATCATCCCGTTCTTATCATTGATAGGTTGAGGTTATTGTTATGACCCATAAAATTCTATTACAGCCTGCACCTAGAAAATCATAAATTCAGAAAATACTCCTAAGCCCTACAACAACAACAACAACAATAATGTTAAAATCCACCCACTACACCACTACCACCTCACCTACTCCACTAAACCTAACCCACTACACCACTATCACCTCCACTTCACCTACTCCACTAAACCTAACCCACTACACCACTACCACCTCCACTTCGCCTACTCCACCTACCACCTACTACCACCTACTCTTCTATATATAGGAATCATTGTAACATATCTAAATATAAATCAATAATACAATTCTCTATTTCTCTATACATCAATTTCAACAAATAATAATAAGTTAAACTGAACCAGCAGCAAATAAGATAAAAGACAACATAAAATATGACGATATTGATGTTATGTAGTCCCAAGGGGGGCCCCACATTGCTAGCATGTGCCAGACAAGGGTTGGGTCCTGGAAGCATTCCTGGTCTGGGTTATATACGACATTAAAAGGGCGCACCATATATCTCCATCATATTAGCAATCATGAATATATATATATTTTTAATTTTGTATGGTACAGAATTTGTAGAATACTTTTCGCAAGTTCTAGTGACTGACCATAGTAATGACCACAGGAAAATGACACATCTTATCTTGAAAGAGAAAATCAGAACTTCATTCTAATTTTGCAAAATAAAGATAAAAAAATGGAGTGCTTTTGTACAAACAGGAAATGCAAATAGCACCACCCAAATTTATTGATGAAAAGTTCAAAAATATTTGAAGGGGGACACGAAGTACACCAAAAGAAATAACACAATTAGTTCTCCAATCCTACTAATCAAGAACAAATGAGACCCCTTTAAGGGTTTTGTCGCTGAAGCCTGAAAAGAAGATGAGTAATAACTTCATCTCGTAAGCCTTTCAGATCATCAAACTTATCTGAAGTTTTTTGCACTTCTTTGCAACCAAATCACCCAAAACACAGTGGTATTTGAACAAACAAAGGGTAAAATAAGAAAATATACATCTTTGCATCTTCACAAGTCAATGCATCTCTATCAAAACTAAAAGTCAACCAATCAGAGATGTTAAACATTTGGCTCATACATGCCGTGCACACGTGTATATTTTTCTACTACGGTACATTTGGTAAGAAGAAGCCAAGTGTTGGGATTGGAATCCTATTTCTCTTCTTCCCAATTTCCACATTTGGGATATGCAATTGTTGACAACAATCTCATTCATCCTAATCTCGTTTGCAATCTTTCATGGAATTAATATATGATTACAAAAGTACATCTAATGATCACCATTTTAAAACTATTTAAAACTTCACAAAATAAGTTTACAAACCAAGCCAAACTAAATCCTATGTCACAACAAGATGTGGTCGGCTACATGAATTTTCTTTCACCTCTGTTAAGGGTTACTTATGTAAATTACAGATTTTACTAGAAACAAATAATAAATATAGTTAAATTATCTCATGTCCTTGTGTATGCCCTATGCTACCAAAAAATGCTAATACCCTAGCGAATTACGTATTGATATGCACGTTCCAAAACGGTAAATTTAGTGATCCGAAGCAATCACAAAAGTTTTTTTCAATATATTCCCTTAAATGTTACTTTAGGAGACAAAAAATCAAATATATAAACTAAAATCTAAGGTGAGTTAGGTTTTAATTTAACAAGACAAAAAATAAAAAATGGGTCATGATTTTCATAGAATTGATTTGCTACATGAAAAAAATAAAATAAAATTATTAGATATCTAATAGTTAAAAGAAAATTATTCTAAAATTACCTTAAATTCTGAAGTATAATATATATAAGTCTACTCCTATCGTACCACATTTTAGAGCATGTGGCGTACGCGTACCACATTCCCGTTTCATGTACCGAAACGATCCACATTCTCGGTAACATAGTGTATGCCACATAGATGGCACAAGATACATGCAAGAGCATCTATGACAAGAATTGTGTTTCTCTAAGTGTTCCTGTGAAAGTATTGCACCAAAGCCTCGTGTGGGTTCCCTTTCACTTTAACTACCTCATAAATTTTTGTCATTACTATACATTTTGGTATAAACAAGTTTTCAATTTGAGCCCTTATCACATAGATATGGTTGATTTGTGATGAATTTAGTATCCTACGCTATAGGTGATGCAGTCCACAATAGGTGCAAGGAATGACAAAATTAAGGAAACATTCATGTTTGAAAATTGCTTGGTTTGGAGACGAACTCAGTTGGGATCAATTGGAACTATCTATAATAGGCTTCTAGTCTTAGTAGTTTTATTTATGTTTATTTTAGATTAAGAAAGTCATTAGTCATTTTTTATGTTTAGGGGTATTTTGGTAATTTGTAGAATTTTTGTATATGGGTTGTGCCAATCGCCCATGGGCCATCTTGTGGGTCAAATAGTTTAATTGGTTTTTATTTATGGGTTTTATTTGGTCTTAGATAGGTTTTGAAAGCCAAAATTTTAGTAGTTTCCTATTTTGGAATCCTATGTGTCTCTAAAGTCTATATAAAGTCTTGTATGCTTCTAATTTAAAAGAGTTGATATTTTATAGAATTTTCATAGCTTTTAAGCCTGTTTAACCCCACGTGTAATGCCTAAAGTATTCTAAAAGCGATTCCTTGTTTTCTTCCTCTTCCTCTTTTCTTTTTTGTTATTATTCATGGAATAAACATCTTTATTTTGCCACCAAATTCCTTTCTCCATAAGCCCAAACCTTTCATAACCAAGCCCCAAACAACTCTTAGCATTATTTCACTAACCCTAACCCTACAATTAGCTTAAGATTGCTTCAGAACCTGCGTGTGCTGCATCAATAGACAATGTACTAATCATTGTGTGCAACAACAAACACAGTAACTCAACCCAACCCAACCAAAAAAAAAAAGACAACGCCCAATTAGTACACATTAATGTGTGTTTGGGAGGAGAAAGATTGAGTATACACCTAACCTTTGGCATAGAGCTCAAAGTGGTTGCCCCGAGACTTGAACCCATAACCTCAAGGTTATTAGGCCCAGGTTTTAGCAACAAATATAGTAAATTTACCATTCCCAAAAAAGCTATGCAAGATTATTGCAAAGAATCATATATTGCGATTTTTCAGTTCTCACTTTAATTCCACTTGTTTTTTTATTTATGTTGGTAAGGACCCTTAAAAAGACAACTTGCCTTTATAGATTAGGTACAAAAGAAAGATGACAAATTTCAGAAAGTGGACACAGAAAAAGCATGGTGAAGCTTTCTTACTAAAATTTGCAAGAATCAGTAATGTACTAGACCATGCCACTGGATTGTGTCCTTCCTATGTCCCAAGTACACGCTGAGTGTTAAGTTGATCAAAGATTGAAGACTACTGCAATTTAATCTTATTTCTCATGAAATAGAAAATATGGGTTAGGGGCCTAGATGGCTGAAGGTACCTGATAATGTGATATTTGGTATGCACAACATGCTTGGCAGGGGCAACTCCAATGCTACTCTTTATTTTCACTAGCTTAAGTACAAAAGAGGAATGCTCTTTATTTTACCTAACTACTTTTTATATATATACTATAACGCTACTCTTTCTTTTACCTATTTATCCACACAAACTGTTTAAAGAGCCTCTCAAGGCTCTCCAAATGTAGCTAGCTTGGAAAATTTTTGTTAGAAAGGCTAGTAGCAGCTAGCCCTTGGGGGAGGTAAAATAGGATGAGGCTAGTTATAATAGCCAACAGGCCTCTCTTAAAGAGTCCATTGGAGATGCTTTACATAATCCAACAGTGCTCTTGGCAATTGGCAAAGTGCAGTACCAGAAATAACTTTTAATTAATATAACTTGGGAGACAATGATTAAATTAAAATTTAAGCAATGTTATTTTATACTTGTTAATCACTCATCCTTTAGGCTTTTTAATTTTAGGATTTCTAAAGTCTAAAACATCCAATTCAGTTATGAATAGAGTTCTCTAAAATAGATTTTAGAACTTTTTGTTCACACTTCTTTTTCAATATATAAACTGTAGAATATGATTGATTTCTTATTATTTTATTATGATTTTCTTGCATATATGTAAAGTATATAATTATTTGTTGTCGTGTTTGTGTCATGTCTTAATTTTTTGAAAAGTGTCGCGTCAACGTGTTCATATCATGTTGTCTCCACGTTCCATGTTCTATGTCCATATCCATGCTTCTTAGGATGAGGAAAAGAGTTGGGAAGAGCATTTGGAAGGCATGGCATCTGGCTCCTGTATTTCAAGTGGTATTTATGGAGGGTGCAGGGAAAAAAAAAAATTTAAAGGTACAGAAGAACATTTGTGTAGGCTTAATAGTCTGTTTTTGGCTATTTTGTAATCGTAGGTCGGTAGGAAGTTTTCCCGAAACCTCAATCAAACTGTAGAATTCGTTGATTATCATTTGTTAGAATTTGTGGGCCTTTTTTTTTTTCTTTTGGGCGTATAGGTCCTGTCAAAGAGCCTTTTTCTAACTAGGAGAACTTTTGTTAGAATATTGAAAGGTTATCATGGTTTAACCTTATGTAAATGAGCAACATCCCTTTTCGATACTTTTTTAATACAAATTAATTTACTTATCAAAAATCAGAAAAAAAGAAAAAAGAAAAGTTTGATGCATTATTCAAACAGTATGCATGATGTCCTACACTTTCCAGTCATTGGAGGCAGCATTTTCAATCATGTTAGGGCCCTAACTTCCCTTCCTCGAAGAGATAATAAATTAGACATCCACGCCAGATTTGACCTGCTAATTTAGGACTAACACTCCATCTTATTCTCCAACATTTTTGTCAATACATGGCTTGATAAAAATAAAAAATAAAATTCAATTGAAAAACGAGGGTATAGCTACCCTACTCAAATTTGAAGTGCGCTAGTAAAAGCAAGTTTGATTGGTTATTTTAATATTAAATAATGTAGCTGCTGTATATCCATATTGAACAGGTAGAGTACCTGCATGCAGATATGATATCTTACCTAGATGAAACATCTTGAATTCAGAATTTCTTCAACATAGAAAAAATCTACCTGTGCAGTTAGAGACTGAATAACTTCTTTTGCAGCTTTGCATTTTTCAGCTTCATCTGCTGCTAATTCAGTTGCTTCCTTTAATTGCCTCGATGTTCTCTCCAGTTCAACTTGAAGAAGCTGGGATTTGGAAGTAAGATCTTCAACCTACAATGATATTTCCAAGTCAATTATTAACGAGAAAATTTTCATCATCTGCGTCCAACTATGGCAACCACAAAGAGAAGAAAAGAAAAGAAAAAAAAAAAAGAAGAAAAAGAAAGAAAATCAAACAGTATTTAATGCATTTCGTGCAAACACATCGCTTTCTTAGATGTGTCTGTGCTTCTTAGGGAAGAGGAAAGGGGTTCAGGGTCCAAAACAAAGGGTAGTGTTGGGATTATAGTGGGTGCTCAAAGGAAAAAGGTCGAGGAGCATTTTTGGTGTTTGAGGGTCCAAAGAAGAAAGGTGGGAGCTATTAGTAGTACTCTTAAATAAATATGACCCTTAGACGCATATAGCCACACTCGATACTTGTATCCAAGTCATGTAACACGGATAAACATGAACAAACATAATTGGAGATTTGCACATGAATGGCACTGAAGCATGCACAGTTTAGCTCTACATATAAAGAAAGGCTTACCTGTGCCCTCAAATTTATGACCTCTTGACTTAGTCTTTCATTTTCATGTTTTGAATCACCAAGAATCACTTCAGATGTACAAAGTGTTGCAGACTGAAATTGAGTTGGCTTTTTTAAAACAGGAGATGCTGCCCGAGAAATCATTCTAGAACCAGGAACAGAAGCTGAAAAAAAATTCATTGAAGTTCCAACTAGAGCATTTGATGCTTTTGAAGAAGAAATGCTTCCCCTCTGCGTATTTCCACTCACAAGGGGGGGGACATGGCTATCATTTGGTTCTACTTTCACATTGAACTTGAAATTTCTGCCTTCAGCTAAATTGAACAAGTCAAAAGACACGAGTCTGGAAAATTGTCCTTGTAATCGAGGAACCCCAATCTCTTTTTCAGCCGCCTCATTGAACTTATTAAGTCTATTTTCACTTTTGACTTGAGAAATTCGAGCAATGGATCCAGACTCCACAACCTTCTTTAGCTTGTTAAAACAATCATCACAGACACGATACGGTTTGTTCATGCTTGGAGCCAATGAAGCTTTCAGTGATTTCCTACTGCTGCATGCTTTGCAGAAGACAAGGCCACAGTTGTAACAATTATGATATTTTCTTCTGAAATTAAATGGATTACGACAACCAGAACACACAGAATTGTCAGCGGTGGATACCAATTTATGCAGACATATAACAGCAGTAAGATTTGCACCACAAACTACACTCTTTACTTGCTTATCTTTTAAAATATCAACAAGTGTAGGTATGTTTCGGTCGTTGATGTCTCCATGGCCTAATTGGCCATTTGCACCCTTTCCCCAAGTATAAACCTCTGTTTTTGAAGTCAAAACCGCAACATGATAAGAACCACAGGCAATTTCTTCTACAAAACTATCAGCAATTTTACCTTCAATGCGGGTGGGCATCTTTCCATCAGCTAAAGGACTCCCCAACTGTCCATAAACTGTACTCCCCATTGTATAGACTCGCCCTGAGGTCGTAAGAGCAACGGTTAGGTTATGTCCGCAGGCTACCTGACAGAAGCTTACATCAACCAATGCAGCTACACACTCGGGAATTAGTCGAGATTCTTTATCACCGTGTCCAAGTCGACATTTATCCCCATCTCCCCAGGTGAACAGATTTCCAGATGAAGAGCTATCAGAAGGTCCAGAACTAGATCCAGTCATTGCTTCAACAACTGCAGCAGTATGCCATACTCCACAAGCAACCCTCACTGTCCGTAATCCTTTCAAAGTTTCCACTTCCCTCGGAATACTTGTGCTAGTAAGATCTCCATGGCCCAAGGCACCAAAAGTTCCATCTCCAAATGTAAACAACTGGCCAGCAGATGTTACAAGAGCTGTATGCCAAGGTCCACAAGAAATATACGACACTTGTATACCCTCCATTACACCACTTACCTTTTTAGGAACCCAGTGACTAATTTCACTTCCATGCCCAAGCAAACCAGAGTTGTGACTGCCATCACCCCATGTATAAAGATCCCCAGAAAATGTGACAGCACAGGTGTGATATTCCCCGCATGCTACTAGCTCAATATTCATTCTGGTAAGAGCATCAACAAGCTTTGGGTGTGAAACATCCTCTTCGAATCCATGCCCAAGTCTGCCCCCTGACTCCTCCCCCCAACTAAATATCTCCCCTTGTTTTGTGACTAACACAGCATGCCTACTACCACAAGCAATATTATGAACATCAAGTACCATCGTTGACTCCAACACTTTGGGCAAAAGGGCATCCAACTTGGTACTAGACGAACTACCAACTCTATACACACCACCTCCCAGTACCCCATAACTGATGCCTTCTCCCCAAATCAAAACATCACCCAAGGCATCAAAATCTTCATGACCAGAACCATGGCTTGACGAACTTACAACACTAGATAAACTAACTCGAAATGTTTCAGCCGCGGAACTTCGACTATTTGAATTTAAATTGTCTATGCCTAGTGAGCCAGGAGAATTGGTAACTGGCTCAGGTTGAGCCTGATTTTCTGCTGCTGCAGTATATGCAATGATGTCACAGAATGCCTTTCCCAATCTACTCTGGGGAAGATTCTCAGCTCGTTGAGTATCTCCTTGATCCTGAGACAATTAGATAGAGAACATTAAAAAAAATAAAAATAAAAAAGAAAGAAAGGAGGAAAAAGAACAAGAAAAAGAAATTGAAGAAAAAAAAAATTAAGTCAAAATTTAAATGGAACATAATAATTTTAAGGGTAAATTACAAATACACCACCTGAGATTTAATTAAAATACGAATCACCCCCTGTGGTTTTGGAAATTACATTCCACCCCCTGAGGTTTCTAATTTCATAACAAATCACCATTTTTATTAATAAATCATTAAGTCAATTAATAATTTTTAATGATGTTCGAAATATGTTTCAATTAATAATTTAGGTAATTTTATTATTGTATAGGAGAGCAATTATGAATTTCATTTGTTTTAGTTAATTCGGTTAAATAAAAAATTCTAACAAGGGGGTATTTGTAATTTTTTAAACCACACGAGGCAATCTGTACTTTAAACAAACCTTAGGAGGTGTAATTGTAATTTATCCTAATTTTTTTAAAAAACTATAGAAGAAATAAGAAATTTCTCCTTACAAAAGATGAAACAGAAGGATAGGTTCTCCGAGCATGTGAACTATTTGATGATACACTCTCATTTCTTGGTTCACTTCTCAAGTTGCAGTTAGTACCACGCGAAATCAATGCCTTTAGACCGACAAACCAAACCTCAGCTTCATCCTTATCCTTACATATCTGTCCATTTATCAGTGATGTAGTTAATAAAGACAGTTAAAATGTATATAATTGTAGAATTTAATATTATGCAACTCCATGCATGACATTATATATGATGCACTTGATTTATAGAAAAACTAATCCAAAAAAACAAAGGAAATAAACTTCAAAGTGTGTTGAACAGGTTCTTTAGGTATTGACAGTGAAGCAAGCTGTCATTGTATATGAGACACTCACCAAATCCAATGACCTGTCATTGTATATGAGAGAGAAAGACTGATATTCCTTGTCAGGCCGGGGATAGCGCTGGAATATTGCCTGATAGAAAACCACTATCATTTTAATCAAATGCTTGAATTTTAAGCATAATTATAATAAATTTAGGAACCAAAAAAAAAAAAAAAGGAAAAGAAAAAACATGAAAGAAACCTTTCCATAACTGGGTTAAACATAATGAAAATCTCCAAGATAAATGCTCTTACAAAACAATCCTCACACCTGTCAAGGCCTTGTGCTAGGTTTTAGCAAAGCCTGTGATGCACTTTAAGAAGCCTCCATCTTACAAACACCAAACTAAAAAGTAATAAACTCCCACCCAAATTGTGGTCCACCTCTTTTTCCAACTAATTTGTACTGATGTAGTGTAGCAGAAGGAAACCTAGAAAAATGCAGCATATAAAAGGATTTATGGTGGGAAAGGTGAAGAAAGCTAGCTAGCAAATTTAGTCTTTAAATTGTAGAAGAAAGGTTGTAAGCTTTGGGGACTGAAAAGCAATCAAATTGGGTTCGTTTCTATGGAAATTAGTTGTTGGAATTGCAGAGTAATTACTGGTAATTCAATATAGCAAGTATTCTAGGGCATTTAATGATTAATTCATGGCCAAAGAAATGGGAAAGTGTTACCGTAATTACACTGTAGAATGATGTTTCAGTAATAGAATGTGAGGGTGCCCTCACGCTTACATGCTTAACATTAAGTTGAATTTGTTGTATAGAGAAATGGAGAGAATGAATTATGTATTATTGATTGATATTTTGATATATTACAATGATTCCTATATATAGAAGAGAGGATGTGGGAAGAGAATAGGTGAGTGTGTAGTAGGTATGGAGTAGGTGGAGAGTAGGTGAAGAGTAGGTGAAGTAGGTGAGTGTGCAGTAGGTGGTAGTGGTAGGTGTGTAGTAGGTGAATTTTAACAGCCCCCCGCAAACTCAAGGGGATAGGAACTAACCAACTTGAGTTTGGAGAGAGTAACAAAACAAGAAAATACATAAAAATAAAAGAGGATAGGAGACACTGTATGGTCGTGTCAGACCGATGGTGAAGACACTGTATGGTGGTGTCATAACGTTGTAGAGGACACTGGATGATTGTGTCAGACCGATATAGAAGATAGTTTATGGGGTCATGTCGGACCGTTGTAGCAGACAATGTTGTGACAGTTGTTGTGACAGTTTAAGGAGTCTTGCTGGACCCTTGTAGAAACTAACCGAAATCAAGGTCGGGACAGTTTACAGAGTCTTGTCGGACCCATAAAGGAGCTAACCGGAATCAATGTCGGGACAGTTTACAGAGTCTTGTCGGACCCATAAAGGAGCTAACCGGAATCAATGTCGGGACAGCTTACAGAGTCTTGTCGGACCCTTGAAGGAGCTAACCGGAATCAATGTCAAGCCACCCCAGCCCTTCTCTACCCCTTGGCAGCCACTGCTGAGGGTTCCTTTGTCAACCAAGCTTCTTCTTGTTGGAGATAATATTATATTGTCAAAGATATTAAAAGATATCAGAATATATGGAGATCCTATGATTTGTTCTTATTATGATTTTTTGTATCTTTGATTTATTTCAATTCATTATCTGAAGGGATTTGATTGTATCTCCCATTCTATATATATATGGTGTATCATGTAAACAAGAGTATAAATTGAGTGAATGAAAGATGTAGCCCATAGGGCTTTGTGTATGTAGATGTAAACCAATATTGACAGAACCATGTTAAACCTTTGTGTTCTTTCTTTTCTCTTTTATGTCTCTATTATCTCTCCATATTCAAGTTTATTGCTGTAGAAATATAATGTAAAGAGAAATAGAGAATTGTCTAGATATTGATTGTATTATTAATTGATATCGTTTTGTATACAATGACTCTCCTATATATAGAAGAAAAAAACATATTCACCTACCACACTCAACTCTCACCTAACACACTTACATCTACCTACCACACTCAACTCTCACCTAACACACTCAACTTTACCTACCACACTTACAGCCCCCCTCAAACTCAAGAAGGATAGATACTAACCAACTTGAGTTTGGAGAGAGTAACAAAACAGGAAAGTAAACTGATAAATAAAATAAAACAGGATAGGAGACACGGTATGGTCGTGTCAGACCGTTGGAGAAGATAATGTCGGGACAGTTTACGAGGTCATGCCGGACCGATGTAGAAGTTGACCGGGAGCAATGTCGGGACAGGTTATGGGGTCATGTCGGACCGATGTAGAAGACAGTTTATGGGGTCATGTCGGACCGCTGTAGAAGACAGTTTACGGGGTCATGTCGGACCGCAGTAGAAGACAGTTTACGGGGTCATGTCGGACCGATGTAAAAGACAGTTTATGGGGTCATGTCGGACCGGTGTAGAAGACATTGTATGAGTGTGTATATAGGCTGCCCAAAAGATATACATGTAGATATATATATCGAGCCCAATGGCACGGTAGTAGTTGAGAGGTCCAGTGAAACCAGACTCTTGGAATTTGTCAGCAAAAACTTCCAGTTCTTCCTCTGTTATCCATTTGGGACAATAACAAGGTGTCTCAAGGTAATCAATGATCTCCATCCCCTGTGGAGCTATCAGCAGATCAGTCTTGTTTATCAGAATCAACTTCTTCATCACTGTCACATAATCATATCTTGCAAATGCCTTCTCTGCTCTCCCTGCCTCCTGGAACAGTGACTTCACTCTGTCAGGCCTCAACAGGCTGAGGTACCATCCAGCTATGGCTCCCCAGTCACTACCCACTACAAATGCCTGTTGTTGACCAAAGTGATCAAGAAGGCCAATGAGGTCAGCGACTATGTGGAAAACAGAGTAGGAAGAAGGGCTGAGAGGAGAATTAGAATCACCATAGCCTCTCAAATCAGGTGCCACCACGTGATACCCCTTTTTAGCCAAGTCAGTGATCTGGTGTCTCCATCCAAACCAGAATTCTGGGAACCCATGAAGAAGCAGAACCAGTGGTCCTGTCCCTTTCTCTGCTATGTTCATCCATATTCCATTTGTTTTGATCCTTTGCTGATTCACCTCCCCCATGATCATCATCGCCATCATCCTTTTCTTCTCTCTTTCGAGAGAGAGCTTAATGAGCCAGCTCGACTCGCCGGTGAAGCCGTGGACGACGGCGACTATTCCGATGATCTTCGTCGGCGGGAGTGGGGTCCACGACTGTGTGAACAGCTTCATTCCTCTGGAATTGGTGATGTACCTCTCTCTCTCTCTGCTATTAATGTTAATAGGATGAAAAACTGATGGCGGAATGTGCGATGTGCAGTGTTGCTTTTATGTTGTGTGAATGGTGTAGAAGAGAGAGACAAGAGTTCAGTTATGGAATTTGTGGCAGCGGATGGGAGGTATGTGTAAAAAAAAATCTTAGCGGACTAGGTTGAGGTCCGGCGGACGGCTAAGGTGAGGTTGCCGCCCGCCGGTGAAGCGAAAAATACTAGGTGCTAAACCTGCTCTGATACCAAGTTGAATTTGTTGTATAGAGAAATGGAGAGAATGAATTATGTATTATTGATTGATATTTTGATATGGAAGAGAGGATGTGGGAAGAGAATAGGTGAGTGTGTAGTAGGTATGGAGTAGGTGAGGAGTAGGTGAGTGTGTAGTAGGTGGTAGTGGTAGGTGTGTAGTAGGTGAATTTTAACACATTACTTTAGTACTAAGGCAATGTGGAACTTCGCTTTACACTCTCCCTCACGCCTAGCATGCTCACTTGTCAACACCTATGGTGTACAGGTCAAGGACACGCACCATATCCATCTCTGAGTACTCAGGCTGTAGTACCATGTTACATGGTTTTGGGTAGAACTCAACCCCAAAAGCTAGCTATTGAGGTTAGGGTGCCCTCACACTTATATTCTTAACATTACTTTAATACTAAGGCAATGTGGGACTTCGCTTCACAGTTCTCAACTACGAAAAATAACCACTGACCAGTAATTTTGCTATTTCGTGCGTGTGTGTGTGAGAGTATGTGAGAGAGAGAGAGAAGAAGAAGAAGAAGAAGAAAAAGAAGAAAAGTTTGGAATCCCACCTAGAGTTGTTGGAATATGAAAATAATTTAGGATCCTATAAATTTCATATTACGGTATATTAGGTTGATTTTTAGTAATTATTATTTCACCTTCCTAAATTGTAATATTCTCAATTCAATAGATATATACATGGCTAGTCATGAATTATGATTACGCCATTCTTTACCTTTCTTCTTCTCGGAATCAGACCCAAAAACCCTAGCCCCCATTCTCCTCTGCTTCTCTTTCTCTTAGCAGGTTCTCTTTCTCCACCAACCATCTCCACTAGCTGCCTCTCCTCCCTTATCTAGCTCCCGACAGGCCTACTCTAGCCCTCCCTACTTCCCAACAAGCCACCCCAGCCCTTCTCTACCCCTTGGCAGCCACTGCTGAGGGTTCCTTTGTCGACCAAGCTTCTTCTTGTTGGAGATAATATTATATTGTCAAAGATATTAAAAGATATCAGAATATATGGAGATCCTATGATTTGTTCTTATTATGATTTTTTGTATCTTTGATTTATTTCAATTCATTATCTGAAGGGATTTGATTGTATCTCCCATTCTATATATATATGGTGTATCATGTAAACAAGAGTATAAATTGAGTGAATGAAAGATGTAGCTCATAGGGCTTTGTGTATGTAGATGTAAACCAATATTGACAGAACCATGTTAAACCTTTGTGTTCTTTCTTTTCTCTTTTATGTCTCTATTATCTCTCCATATTCAAGTTTATTGCCTTATTACAAAAGTCAACTCTTCTTGGTTAGTTCAACAACCCTTCTAGGGTGGTCAGAGCCCCCCTCCACCCCTTTCGGGGCCTTATGCTAATGTGGTAAGCACCTTTTTGACCCTTTTCTATGTGCAAGGCTACCAGTGTGTTCAGTAGCATTTGTGGTACACCGTTTCTTTCGCCTTTGCTTGTGGAATTGTTAACCGTTGCTTCGGTTTCATTAGTTTTCCTGTCTTCAGTGGTTGTCATCATTACTAACTCATCTAGTACATCTGTGTTACCTGCTATTACGTCTAGATCTGATTTACCCAGTAAACCTATTACCCTTGGGTATGATTTTTGCCTCTCTCAAGAAGCCCATGCTCACCGAATTACTATAATTTTGTTGAATGCGAAGAATTTTGCTGCATGGAGCCGCTCCCTCATATTTGGAGGGCAAAGGCAAGGCTCATCGGCTTCTAATTACTAAGACTCGACCTCCAGATGATTGGGCAATGGTATATTGATAATTATATCATCTTGAGTTGGATGTTCAACTCTACGGAAGATCAAATTTATCATATGTTCATGTATCTGTGGAAGGCCCTCACACGTATGGATGCTCATGCACATAACGATGCCCGTATCTCTGAACTCTATCAGGACATATCTCATGCATCTCAGACTACTTTGGGTCTTTTGGTGACAAAATTCTTTGGGTATTTCAAGGCTCGTTGGGAGGAATTGGCTCAATATGAGCCCTTGAGTGATTTTATGGTTGAGGTTGTTTCTATAGTCTCCAAACGTTTGGTTTAGCCCGCTTTCTCTCTTCTTCCAAAACCTTCCACTATTCCTAATCAGATGGCCTTGGTAGCAAGTTCTGGTTCCCGTGGCTACCAGAAAGATTATTTGTCATCATTGTGGTCAAACTAGGCATATTCGGGACCGTTGTTTCAAACTTCATCCTAAGCTGAAACAACGGTTTGCCCAAAATTATGGGTCTGGTGCGTTTCACACCACAGCTCTTGTGGAGTTCATCCCCACCGTCAGTGGTCCTGATTTGCATCAGCGTCAGTCTCAATTTGGTTAGCTTCGAGCACAACTTGGGTCACTCACCACTCATTCCCAAGGACCATCCTCTTTTTCTTTACAGCTACCATCGCTACAAGTACTTCTACAGGTTTCCAAGTTTGGCATGCTTACCTTTCATGGGTTCTGGACTCAGGGGCTAATGATCATATGACGGGTTCTCCTTTATTTCAACTTTGGTCCATATTACTATGGCTTAAATTGTACGTCTTGTTGATGGTTCTCTCTCCTCTATGAGTGATATTTCTCTCTCCTCTGTTCTAAATGTTCCTAATTTTGCATATAATCTGTTATCTATCTATCAATCGTCTTGCCAAAACTTTTAACTGTGTTATCATCTTCTTACCTACTTCTTGTCTTCTACAGGACCTAATTTCGAATAGAATTCTTGACAATGGATATGAGCGCAATGGGCTCTACTACTTTGGGGATCCACCTTCACCACCATCACCTCTTTTATCTAGCTTTCAGGCGTCTATTTTGCCTACGTCAGTGTCGCGTTTTTTCTGTTCACACTTTTGCTAGGATATCAACTCTTCTTAACCAGGATCGGTGAGACATAAAATAACAAACAAGAAAGATAAACGAATTGAAGAAATCACATATACAAGAAACACAGATTTACATGGTTAACCCCAAAATAGGGCTACATCCACAGTTGTTGGGATTTTCACTCTGATCAGAAAATAATTACAACACTCTCCAACACGAGAGGCGCCTCTCTTATCTATTTATAAACATAGAAATTAGGGCAACGCGGAAGCAACAGGAAATTATCAAACCCCCCATTGGACCCAATCCCCTTCGTCAGTTGTTTGATCGGGATACTATTCCCTAGGTTCCTAAACTTGGAATGGATGGCGGAGCGTAGGTGGGAGTCACTTGCGATGCTCCTGCTCTTTCTCGATCAGCCACCTGATCCGTTTATGCTTCAGCCGCTGCTTCCACTGGTTCAGGGGTTGTTGTACTGTAACCATCATAATTTCGACTTTCATTGCGCAAAGCAAAGATGATCCTATCTTAGCCAGGTATTGGATTGGTGCATGAAGTATATTAGCGCTTCTTGAACACCAGGATAGGAGAGTCTTAAGAAAAAAAACATATATTTAGCTAGCTCTTTCACTAAGACGGTCCATGGTTGCTACTTCTCTCGTCTCTGGAAAAGGGAAAAAAACTACCCAATATATTATAGAAAGCCCAGAACTAAAAAGAGATTCCTGTAATTGTGGTCAGTCTTTGCTAAAGTTGCCGCCCCACAAGAAAGAAGCATTGAACACAGTAGCCCATGTTTATTAGTGAAAGAAGGACCAACGATAACAACAACAAATGTCAAAGAAGAAGAGGAGCAGGCCCGAACAAAAGGGCAAAGAAGAGAAATAATTGACCGGCTTTTAGACTTTGAACTGTCAAGTGGCAAGGTACAGTTGGATGTGCCCACGAAACCATATGATAATGTAGTGTAGGCTAGGCTTGGAGATGAACATCTTATGTTCAAGGAGAAGAAATCACTTTCAAAGAGAAGGAATGAACCAAAGTCTCGATAGTTAGCTCTCAATCTTCCGGTCAAAACACAACGTCAATGGAAGCGTGTAGGTGCACTATTCCACAGCGGGGATTGTAACTTTCCATGAATTTCCCATTTGTCACTCAACGAATGAACTTTGCTTATTTCTTTTTTTGAGGATTGCCAAATCAAATGATATTTCGGGTTCAATTTTTTCCTGTTCGTCTCCCTCTGGATCAATTCCTTGCCTATCAAAGATTTTGCTATTTGTAGATGTCAGGTAATAGCAAGAACCTAAGACTAGTCAGATTGAAAGCGGCAAGCTCATCTGGTTTATGTTGTCAGAATGAATACAAAGACGATCATCATTAGGGCAAGCAATGGCTTTTGTTGGAGCAAATCCCAAGATGTGTACAATACTTATTAGGGTCCACACGAACCAACAACTTTAACCTTGTGGCACGCTCATCTGGTTTATGCAAATTTTCAATATTTATGTTTACTTTTTTCCTCTATAAATAAAGCTTGTAAGGATTCTCATTTTCATTGTGTTGTTTGTTAGTTGGCCAAGCATACACGTACCAATTATATTCCTCACATGACTCGTACACCTTATGCTTTTGACCTCGGTCATTCTGATGTCTGGGACCTTTCTCCAGTTCTTGCTCCGGTTGGGCGCAGATATTATGTAACCTTCATTGATGACCACACTAGGTGTGCATGGGTTTACTTTCTTAAGCGTAAACCAGATGGTTTTCCCATCTCTGTTCAATTTTTGCAAATGATTAGTTTAAGTCTGTTGTTAGACATGTCCTCTTTGATAATGGTAGGGAGTACAACTCCATCTTAATCAGGCAGGTATTCTCCAACAGTTTACTTGTCCTTGTACTCCTGAACAAAATGGAGTGGCTAAACACAAAAACCGTCATATTATGTCTGTTGTTCGGTGTCTTCTTCATGGTATGCATGTTCCCAAGTCGTATTGGCAAATGGCTGTCCTTACGGCTATCTATTTGATTAACCATACCCCGAATCGTGTCTTACAAGTTCTTGCTATGTTCCAAGTTCTTATGCTTACTAGTACAATGTTTCCTATCCTACCCCATGTGTTTGGTTGTACTTGCTGTGTCCATAACTGTAGTCCCACTTACACTAAGTTAAATGACAAGTCCATCCACTATGTCTTTTTGGGGTT